ATAGTACTTTCGGTTTCACGCATTCCCGTCCCTTCAGCTCTTTTCAGCGCGCACACGAGACTTCGACAGAACGGCCCGTGGCGTCTTTGTCCGCCTCTCCGGTGCGTGATCGGGAATAAAACGAGTCAGAAGACGGGCAGCGAATAACAGGGCAGCCCGCTCCTCTCGGTGAGCCCAAATGGGCCCTCCCGCCGCTCCATCCAGCCGCGCTCGCGGCGATGCTTCACCTGAGCGCTCTCAGGACAGGTTTTTCAACTCGGCTTCTGCCGTGTTCGACATACCGGACGTGACGTGCGCGCATCGACCGGAAACGCTACGGGGGTACGCGTCTGTTTTTTTGCGCGAACACACGCAGGTTTGTTTTTTCGCAGCGGCGGTGGGGTCGCGCGTATCCTCCCTGGCGTAAGAATCCTTTTCTTCCCACCTGGCTCGTTGATTGATCTTCGTTAGTCGAACGTCAACGGCAGCATTTAACAGCGAGAACCACCGATCCCTGCGCGTCCCGCCGCAGCAGCCTCGCGATGGGTGAGTCGCGTTGTTTGGGTACTTTGGGAAGCGACGGCGACTGCCTGCCGCGCTCGGCTCAACAGGTAGGCACGAGCCGCTGGGGCTTCGCAACGGGCGCCGTTCTGGGCGGGGCATTATTTTTCTCCACGAGCGCTGGCACTTCGCGGGCTTCGTGCCAATCTTTAGGAATCTTGTGGCGGAGTTGTGCGCAAGCCGCCGGGGGTCGAGATGACGTGGTTACTTTTGTTGTGGACGTGTGCCTAGGAGATCCGCAAGTCGCGGAGGGAGGAGGGGTGGACGCCCCGCGGACGTTCGGGTGGTCGCTTTCATTGTCCGCGGGACGGGTGGGTCTGGGTTGGCGTTGGCTGCGTTGGCAGTGCCAGGCGGTGATAGTCGCGGTTTGTGGCGGGCGGTTGTGTATTACGTGTAGAAACTGCCGCGTGCCTCATGTATTACGTGGTTTCGATCACGATGTTGGAGCGCAGGTCTCTTTTACTCGAACGACGATCTCGATTATGTTAGCTTAGGCTGAAAAATCACGCCATCAGACAAGAAAACCGTGATTCTGGAATGTTGTTTAACGTCAGTGCAAGGTATGTAACGTACGGGGTGTCGTCGGCCTCTTTTGGGAGCGGACGCGCGCGCGCCAAGTTTGCTCGCGAGTTGGGGCGCTGGCTGGCTGAGCGAGGGAGGGAGGATCTGGGTGATGACCCAAAAATTAGCGTTAGCGTATCATGCACGCGCCTTCCAGGCGAGAGCGGGCCTGCAGACGACGTGTACCGCCTGGCTGGATGATGGCACAGACTTCCCCTGGCTGACGTGCCCTCTTCAGCTTTGCGTTCCTGTGTCGAGCAGTCGAGCAACAAGTGCGATTTGTACCACCCACATAAGAGCCCCGAAATAGCTAATATATCCCTAATCGGTTGGGAATCTACTAAAGTTCAATATCCGCCGGATGTGCAGAGAAATAATTGAAGCATCTGCAGTTTGAACGTGTTGCTGGAGCACAGAGGAAGTGACGGCAGTGGAGAGGATTGCATGTTGCTGCAGCCGGCTCGAAAGCGTTTTGCCTCGGCGTGGTTGTGGGATTTCACGCTTTGTTTTTGTCTTACTTCATGCTTGGCGCCAGATATTTTCTTTATGCCCTAACTCGAGTCGGAAGGCGGATTGACGCAGTTCTAAATCGTGCTTCAGGTGCGTAATTTGTTTGAGAGGTGGTACATTTTCTGAAAAGGAATCGCTGGGACCGCGGTAAATGGCTGACACTGATTTCATAATTATTATTTTCTTTTCAAGTTAAAAGAGAGATTGAAGAATTCTCTTGTGATGTTTTTGTGGTGGTTGGGGAACGTGGAGGGAAGCGAGATTGAGACGTAATGATGCAATTATGAGGCATAAAAATGTAGCGATCGGCTGGAAGTGGCTGCCGATTGTGTGTTTCTGTTGAGAGTAGGGTGTTGCAGAAGAATACAGAATTACAGAATAAAGATTTGCTGCGCCTACACGCCCTTGAGAAGAACGATGGGATGTGGCAAAGTGCCCCATTGTTTCAGTTGTAATTGTGTTGCTGTCTTTGTTTTCCGAGTTGCTATTTGTTGTTTGACCGTTGCTGACTATTTGTTAAACAGTTCGAAATGCATTACATAGTCTAATTTGAAGCCGAGACATTGTGACACTATAGTTTATTGGAAGGAACCTTGTCAGATAAAATCGCAACCTCGGTTTGTTTTCTAGCAGTTTCTGCACATTTTTGTGCTAAAAATTTCCTTTCATAACTACCAAGCATTTTCTAGAAGGTTTCATGACGTCTACAGAACTAAAATATCCTCCTTTCTTATGTTGGACGTTAACTATGACTTGTTTTAATCATTATTTCTGTAGTTTGCTAGATCTTAGTACCAGCTGCAGAATAGAAACAGTGCAATGGAGTTTACCCTGACAGGTCACGTCATCTGGTGCATAACTTACGCAACGATGGGAAGTCCGGTTCCTCATTTGCGCCATTGAAGAAATGTATATTTTTGTTGGCATAGGGCACAACAGCAGAAACATACGGCCACCTTTTTTTCTTTTTACAGTCTGCAATGAAATGTATTCTATGTCATCCGAACGTGTAAAACAGCGAAAGCAACAAGTGTGAGGTCCTTGCTTTCCGTACATGTGGGACCACGTGGTAACAATAATGTTTGGAGATAAAATGCTGGATTTTTTTTACCTATTTGATCTATTTCATTAGTTCTAGCGATTACTGGTATTTGTGGCTGTGTTTTATTTAATGAGAAAACTAAAGCCCCGGCCGCACGCCATAAGGTGCGGCCCGTGGAAGAAATTAGTCAGGTGGTGGGTCCATTTTTACCTTTAATTTAGGCGAGATACCAAAATATTGTTCTGACTCAGCTGTCTTTGTTTTCCGAGTTGCTATTTGTTGTTTGACCGTTGCTGACTATTTGTTAAACAGTTCGAAATGCATTACATAGTCTAATTTGAAGCCGAGACATTGTGACACTATAGTATGCATATTTATCTAAGTGTTGCGTGAAATACGCAGTTCAAGTACCGCCATACATCTAAACAACACTCCTGTTAAAAAAAACTGTCAGCCTTTACACTCTGGTGAAAAAGGAAGACCAGCGAAGCTGTACTATGGTGGGATTGAAGTATTTATAAATGTAAGGATTAAGGTGTGATTGGGTAATCGGTTATTTGAACGATTAAAGAATCAGACATATAGTATATATAATGATCCGGGGTTGTTATTTATTTCGTAACCACAGTGACCATGGCCTTGTGATCGCTGTGGTACACCGCCATAGGGTGTACGCTGATGGCAGGCACGTTCTTTGTGAAGACGAGGTCTATAGACCGACACGCTGTTTACAAACAAGCCCACGTTTGCCCACACCAGGTGTGGGCGCAGCGCATGTGCAGAAACCGGATTCGCGTGAAGTGAAGCGTCTGCGCATGCGCAGTGCCATCGACAGCGCCACCGCAGCTGCGTGACGTCAGGGCCGCGTGTTGGTCTATACATGTCACTGTGGCAGACGTGTTGTCGCCAAGTATGACCCAGCCGAAGACGTCCATCACGAATGCTTCAATGTCTTTTGGGCGTCGCGGGGGGGGGGATATAAAATAAGCTAAAAATAAAACAATCGTTTTGCAAATGTTCACCGAGAAAAAAAAATAATAATGTGAATAAAAGTAATCTTACCACAAACACATTTCCGAGTTGCCGCAAAATAAAACGTTCTGTGTACGTACAGAAACAAAAAAACTACTAAGGGCAGACATGACCTATACTCCGCGACAACTTTTCTTGGCAATGCAGTGGAAGCTACAGGCACGCGTTCCCTCTGCCATTTTGAGCGCTGAATAAAGCTGTGCACGGGCTCTCCTCTCTTTAGAAATGCCAAAAAAAGTTGACGCGGAGTATAGTGAGTGCTAATCACAATGATTAGCACACAGAAACGGAAGTCAACCCGGTACCTTTTTGTGTGAGTGCTTTTTTGTGTCACAGTGCATTCAATTCATTATCCAGGATATGCCCGGAGCATTATATCCACAATACCAAAAGAACAGCTGCGTTCTACCTGAGAAACCAGCTGCTATGTTTTTAATACGGGGACGTACGCAATCAAACAAGCCAGCGCCGCGTTTGGAAGTTAGCAACGAGGAAGGGGGCAGGAGAAGCAGACGACGCGCCGGCGACTTCCCATCGCTGCGTTTCTTAGCTGGTGGAGGCGCTGACTATCGTCCAATTGCGGCACCTTCTAGGCATGTGCTCTGGGGCTATGGCTAGATTGTTTTAACATGGTGTGAAGTGCTGGAGATTGCTGGGACTATTTGGGGATGTCTAGGTTTTTGTGTTGCTGCCAACGTTACTAAAACACTCAGTTGCAAAACTCACTCTTGAAACCCGGACCGGTCGTGTCCACTGAGACCAAACTAAATACGATAATAGCGGCGCCCTTTAGCAACGAGTAAAAACATGAAAGTTAATTTATATAATTACTCTGAAATGGCACCACCGGCCCTTGCGCAACTCGACCTGAACCAATACGTGCGGCCGTGCAGTTGCCGGAGTGGCCGCTGCCGGAGAGATGGCGGCGTTGCCATCGCCATTAGTTCGGTTCTCGAGTATGGATCGGAACCACTTTTTCAAAGCAGGTTCTATGGCAGTTTCCCAAGTGAGTTCTAGTAACGTTGGTTGCTGCTAACCCCAGTCTTGAGTACTTTTTCACCATGTCTGCCTTGCACCCTCACAATTTATCAGTTAAAAATATGCGCTTTAATAATGATAATAATAATGTTTATCGTCTGCATACATGTATTCCATTATTAAAAAAAAAAAATTTACATTAGTTACATTTTTAATGAATTATAATGTAAATCTGATATCGATAAGCTGATCGAGGTCTACATAGGCATCATTGTTTGGTCATCATAAACTGAAGGACATGTCTGAGCCATGATCCACTTCTGTCTTATGTTTCTAGCTGCTTTTCAACATGTCCGGGAAAACATTGAGGACCTCAATGGACGTGTTGGAGCTCGTGACACAGACCTCATCTTCCTCAAGGGCCTCATGGAATCTCCGGTTATGAGCTGCTTAGTGCAGGTGGGTTAAATTCTGCCATACATCTCCATACATTACGACATTGTGCCTTTAGAGTGACGTGATGTGCTTTCTGACTCGTTTTTTGTTGTTTAAGTAGCAAAGATTGTTTTATGTGCATCATAATTGAGAAATCGTCCATGTCTTGGTTGTTTGGCAGAAGCATATGTCAGTTCTTTAATATCTGTGCACTTAGATCGGTAGATGGGAATCTCATGGAACCGGAATTTCTTTGTGTTAAAATTTTAATTTGAATTTTCTTCGAAAAGTTGTCAGCTATAGACCAATGTGCTGTTTACAAATAAATGATGCCCACACCAGGTCGCATGTGCAGGAATTAGTTTTGCAAGAGGGGAAGCACATGTACCATGTAGAAATTAGCATCATGGATGTGGCATTTTGTCAGAACCATGCCGTGGTCTATTTATTTTTTGTAGCACCAAAACCATGTTATGGCTCTATGTGAGAGCACATTGCACATAAAATTACCCACAGCTCTAAAATTAAAAACATGCTATTTCCATAGTACTATTTCCATAGTTTATTAAGGCATAAGCAAGTGCTCTCACTTTAGTGTTGTTTCAGTGTGTTGTGGTCACTACTCATGCTTCAGATTTATTTGCATGCGATTGAGGAAAGCAATCTTGACTCTATTTTGCATGCATTAGGAATAGTATTGAAGGTGTTTGTTATTTAAATCATTGCACATCACTTTTCTGACCCATGCTTATTTATCTGTTCTCTGATTCAATTTTTTGTGTTTTTACCTACTAAGATTTTACACTTGGTGAAAATATGAAAGGCACATGGCTTTTATTATACTTAGGCTTTTGGAGCACATTTGCATAGATCTTTACTCAGTTGTCTAAGCAGGGTCTGCTAGCCTTTTTCTTACCGACGAGACGTGCACTGAACTACCAATATCTTTTGAAACAGGTGCACACTACCCAGTCCACTGCTTCCTAGTAACTAAATATTAAATTTTGCTCTTCTTGCAGTTGCTTTATTGCTTTTCACAGTTGCACACGCAAGTGCTATCTTTTCCCTTGGCTTTAAAAATTCTGGGTTTCACCTAGGTGCCCAGCATAAAATAAAAGTATTGAACCTGTAGTTCTTATCTCTGATAGTGATAAGACCAAGCCCAAATGGGCTTGGTTCTTTCAGTAGACAGCATATGAAATCTAACATCGATATTGTTTGTCTGAAATCTTTAGTGTTTTATTATGCTGTCGAGTACAAACATCTCTTGTGTGACTTTTTTGCATGGTTCAGTGATGGAAGTGCTGTGCCAAATTGCGCCAAGGACGCAACCCTGCTGCATGTAGCGCCAAATTGTCATTTTACCCAAGAATTGTGCCATGCCTGCGCCGAGATGAAATGTAGCAATAAAAAATAAAAATTTAAGTTTTATCAGAGCGCGTGGCGGTGCCGCGGTATTTTCCGCGTCGCAACTGTTACGCAAACCAAAACTGCGAGGGCGCATTATCATCATCATCACTGAAAGGAACAACGTTAGCAACATCTGAGACCAAAGCCGCAGAGGCTAAGCGAAGAACCATCCCACTGAGCAGCCTATTTAAAAAAAAAAAAAAAGGCCAAGCTTGTGCATGTTTTCAATGTTGGCCCGCCCTGTTCCCGTGCGCTAGCTACCAGCGAAGTCAAAGCTAGCGCAAGCCCAATGCTTTGTGCATTCCTGACTCGCGCATGGGCTCATGCAGTGTGGGCACCGTTACGGTCTCCACGAGCGCGCTTGTAGTTTTGGCTGCGCTCGCACCGAAGCAGAAAAGAAGTATAGTTGAGTTGCACCAAACTCTGGATGTAGTGCTGGTAAAGCCTCACCGTCCTTTTCGGAGCACAAAGCACTGTGCAACTCGCGCGACTGCGGTGTCTGCTCTGCGGGTGTCGCTTCTCTGCAGCGCGTCGGTGCATAGGGTGCCTACATGTCTGTCTGTCTTAGGGTGCAGACATCCATTGTTGCCCTGAATGTGCCAGCGCGTGACGCTCTGGCGCACTTGGTGTGTGACTTAGGCGGTAAAATGGCATCTATGCATTAGCCAAAGCTACGCGCTCGAGCTGAGTGACACCGGATTGCGTGCACTTCAACATGCATAAAAAAAACGATTGGGTGGAAAAATGGCTGAGATGTTACCACTCAAGCAAAAGCGCGCGTGTGTATGAAGGCACTCTATCGGTGCATGCCAAGGAGCGCACTCAACGGGTTAACACGCCGTGATCCGATCGTGACTTCGCCAGCACATCGAAAATTAATCGGAATTTTTGAAGCGAATATCGGATACCGCAATATTTGAGGCTGCTGCCCGAAAGACAACTCTAATCTGAACCAAAAACATTCCACAACAGTGAAGGTCATTAGGTGCTGCTGCAGATACCTTAAAAGAAGTGCAGGCTGATAAAGCTTTTTGAGACTTTGTGTTTGTCCGTCCCTTTTTGTCCCAGTCTCGGGGTTTTTGTCGAAATGAATAAATATTCTGTACCATCGGAACTCAGTGTGACATATTTAATTGTATTTTTTTATCTGACGAGCAGATAAACTTTATTTGAAAAAATGTTTTTTTGTGTTTACTTTGTTGAATTTTATATATCCTGTCTTAAAAAGGCGACAGGCACTGTGTTCTAATAATAGAGATGGGTAATAGAGTAATGCAGCATTATTTCATTTTCAAGTAATATGCCAACATATGCCGGACCCTGCTCCAAAGGGCCACTACCTGCTCCAAAACAACATTTTGCCTGCTACAAGGCCTGCTCCAAAAGGTCAAATGGCACTTCTATCACTGATGGTTGCTGTTATCAAATAAGTAAAAAGGATAGTATCTCTATGGATCCAGCCCTTTTATCCTAGTCCCTGGAATTCTTCAATGAATTTCACGTTTAGCCCAAACACAAAGGCTTGGGAATAACTTTGTTTTTTTTTAAAAAGCATTGATGTGGTTCAAAGCGTGAAGTTCTTTGTGCAATTTTATTTTAGGTTCAAGATCATCTAGAGGTGAAAAATGGATCCTTCAAGCCAGTCTCAACAAACAATGTGGAACTCCTGAGGGACGTTTGCAAGTCCTGCCGTCGTGTCAACGGCCGTGATGCTCAAGAGCTGGCAAACATTCTCAGTGATCCTCATTTTTCGGTAAAGATATCTAATCTGCTGCATGCTGGAAATGACGGGGAAAAATATTTATTTTAATGCGAAAGCATTAACTGTCTCATGGAGCGAGCTGACGTCATCAGTTTGAAGCGCGAAAACGGCACCTAGTTTCCTTCGGTTCCATTGGCTGACGCGTGTCGACGGGGCTCCCATTGGCCGCTGTGCATGCTTAACTTTTTTGAGGTTTGGTGTTATATTGTTTAATTTATTTGTTGTAAAACAAAAAGTCTGTTCTTTTTTTTGTGTTGACATCACATTTTCTATTCTGAAGTTCCTAGTACACTCTAAAAAAAGATCTGTTCAGTTGTTGACAGTGTCCCAGTACACTCTAGAAAACGTCTGTGCGTCTACTTTCACGCACAACACTCGGAGATCCAATCACTGGAATTTGCGGAGGCAGCTCAGTGAATAACGTTGCAGAAACATATGTTTAGACCAAAAAACGCAGACTGAGTTGTGACATTAAGCAGTGCAAGTGTGACATTTTGCATTGCTTAATGTCACAACTCAGACTGCGTTTTTTGGTATAAACATATGTTTCGGCATTGTCATTCGCTGACCTACCTCCGTAAGTTGCGCTGATTGGCTCTCCGAGTGTTGTGCGGGGAAGTAGACGCACAGACTTTCTTTTAGAGTGTACTGGGACACAGTCAGCAACTGAACAGATCTCAGAAAAAGTCAGAAAAGATAAAAAAAATATATGAACAGGCAAAATTACGGTCAGGTTTAAAGAAGTGCTATTTTTTTAATTGCCATTTTCTCACTGAGGACACACTATAGATTTTGTTTTGAATAAGATCTACCGTAATATCATGAGAGACGGCCCACTTGAAAGCAAATGCAATTTGGTTGAAAATATGGAGTGGGCTAACTTTCAATTTTCAATCGAAGGAAGTTTAAAAAATGCCAGCCTTAGATTTTGTGACCTGCGAAACTTGTGATTGCAGTCAGCAATGTTTCCTTATCGCCCGTCGTGGCTAACTAACACCCTTTCTGCCGAGGTCACCATTGTTCAAGGCCCTGCAATTACTAGAAGTGGGCTATCTTTCGGTGTTTCTAAAATATAGCAAACCCTGCCAAAAAATAGGGGTGGGTTTTCTTAAGGGGTTGGGCCATCTCCCGGGATATTACATTAAGTATTCGGAGAAGTCTGTTGTGATTAAGGCAGGCAGTAGTATTAAAAGCTAATACCTATTTATTTTAAAAAAATGGTCAGTTTATTAACCTAGGTAGTAAATTAAACTCTACATCTGTCCGTTTTTTTTTTTTTTGTCAGGCTTTGCTAAATGCCCACGATTCTGTTGCCACCAAGAGCTATGAACCCCCTGAGCCGTTGCCACCAAAGCCTGAGCTGCCGCCCCACCCACCTGATACTCTCAACGACACCATCAGGATGGTGGGCATCAGAAAGAATGAAGATGAACCCCTGGCAAGTAGCTCACATACAGGGAACAATATTTCCTTTAGAGTGGTCATGTTTGGTTCTGAACTTCATAATATGACGCTAATAAATCACTCAAAAGGAAGCACAGGGTGGAGAAAGGGGACAGCAACGGAGCATAAAAAATGCCACAATTTGGGCTGGTGCCCCTCATCAAGTGGCAAAGAAGCATAAATTTGCGTTGCATGATGTAATCGTTTGAACGATGGTGTGTGTCTGAGACACAATACCTGCAGGTTAAGTCAACGGCTTGGAGCCACATTTGCAAGCTTGTTGCTCTTCTATTTTTCGTATCATGAGGCTGCACACTTTTTTCGATTCCTCCTGGTTTAAAGGAGCTGTGCAACAATTTCAGGGCTTTGCTTAAATTATTGTGGAAGTTGATGCCTGACACTTCTGAAGTGAACTACAGAAAACAGATTTTGCCTGGATACCCTAGTTTTTATTCAAAAAAATAAAAAAGATCCAGGTTTTTGCTGCCTCTCAACTCGTACGTTGTCTTCCAAGTCACGTGCGCAGTGACGTTGATGGGGTAGGCGCGGGGTTCCGGAAAAGTTTTCTCTTTAGAGCCATCAGTGAGCAGCAAGAACTCGTCCGCTCGCGACCGCATTGGCGGGCACCGCGCGAACAATATGGTGAAAGGAGGAAAGTCTCATCCAGGTCCGGCCATACCCGTCTGGCCCTGTCCCCCTCCCCTTTTGGCTTCTGGCGGCTGTTCGCAATAGCAGAGAGAGCTGACGGTTTTGTGGACCTAGGATAGATGGCACCACTAAACTCCGTATAATAAAAGTTTTGTCGATGATACCAGGTTTTTGACGCATTTATATATATGTTGGAACGACAACATTTATAGAGAAGTTACCTTTTGTCGAGCAGGTATTCGCACAACTTGCTATCTTTCTATAAGATTCCCCATTGACGTCACGCTGCATGTTTCTCATGGCCGCCGCTCGTGGCTGCAGGTTGGGGAATATTCTAAGTTTTGCCTCACTATTACGCGGCGGAATCGCAACATTTTGATGAAAGGAGGTGTGTTTTCTGTCATTTGCGACAAGGTGATTAATATCAAAAGCAGAAGATGCCAATTATTTCAACGTTAAAATCGTTGCACAGCTCCTTTAAAAAGTGCAATTGTGTAATGTATTTCCACTCTTTGACCTGCAATTTTTGCCGGCAATTTCAGGGAATAACAGTGCGAGTGGAGGATGACAACTTACTCATCGCTCGCATTCTGGCTGGTGGGATCATCGATAGACAAGGTAAATAATGTCCTTTCTGATACTTCTAAGACATTCATTTAGGGGAGCCACAGAGCCTCACTTACTAAGTTTACTCTTGTTTAGTTTAGGCCTTGTCACAGCCTTATAGTATACCATATTTTACTCGAGTAATAGCCACACTGTTTATGAAGAAAACCTGAGGGTTCGCTTTTCCGCGGAGCACGCAGATTGCCAATCGCCGCAATCGACAGCATGATTACAGCTGTTTACAGGACAGAGATAACGTCTTCGTGGGAAGATACTATCTGTTAAGATTGCATTTGTATGGAGAATCATGTTCTCGATCTTTTTATTCGCTATGTTATTCATGCGCAACACAATGATTGGCTGTATATTTGTTCTGTGGGAAAGTAGACTCAAAGGCTTTGTTCATAAATAGTGCGGCTACTACTCGAGTAAATATGGTACGTATTAAAGAAGGGCATGTTTTAATTGACCCGAGTCCACACATTGGTGCAAGTGCTGCTTAGTTAAGCTTTTTTCAGTTATTTTAAGACATCTAGGGAGACCTACTTTTGGTGATTTTTGTTGGCATCTATCTGCTTTGAGGTTTACATACAACTTCAGCCTGCATAATGGTGTTGGAAGATGTGACTTTCTCTTGTAAAGCACCAAGAGTGTACAGCTTTCAGATACAAAAGTTTAACAGAGAGCCATCGAGGTTGTCATTTGAATATAGACTGTTGGTCATGGCTTCAAGAACTCAAAAAGAATGTGCTCATGAATGCTGAAATTATCTATCATGTTGACATGTCAAGGAGACACATGCATATCCATTCTCTCACATTCAGGCTATAACCTTCTCTACGAGAAAGGTTATTAGCCTGAGGGTAGAGAGCTCATTCGGAGAACTACGAAGTGCTCTCTGCTTCTGACTTTCCCTTTATTGGTGGGTGTGCTTTCATTTATTTCTGCTTACCTGTGTTTTTGATAGGAACTTGTGTTATGCCTATCTAACTCTAGTTTGAGGACTGACCTTTCTCCATTCCTCGGGCTGTTCTAGATCACTTTTTTGTTATAATCTCATGGCTTCATAAACTGATCTTTCAACAGAGAAATTTGTAGCATAAAATGTGAGACGGGGAACTGGAAGACTAATACTGTATTTAGCTTTGTTGCATTGTTGGTGTGAGCAGATGTGTTCTAGCTTGAGCAAGTGAGATGTCCAGAGCATGAAAGGTAATGGCAATGCTTTAAAGGAATTTATTGAAGTGTCAGATATGTGGAATGTTTTTCTGGAAACTAACTTGAACTATTTAATAAATTTGCTACCAGTAACATTTGTTACAAGCCAATTGAACTGAGGTGTCGACAACAAGATTGAGTCTATTTTGTTGATTCTAACGGGAAACGCAAAAGTGATCTCAAAGGAGGCCAACGCCTCTTCTCTAGAAGTATGACTGATATATGCTGTGGTGAAGTATGTTTAACTCGAGGTTTCTCCGACGTTTTGGTCCCAAAGCACGCCTCTCTCTCGATTGAAAGTTGAGGAACCCTTCCTAGCCCTGGCACCGGTGCATTCAAGCAGTCGAGAAGCCTGCAGACTTTGTAAACAATTTCTCACATATCCTCGGACGTGTCTGACTCATAGTTTGGCGTAAATGGGTGACTAACATTTTCTAAAATATTGCTTCAAGTTTAGAAATGCTGAACTTGGGGGCAGGGACGGTCAACGAAATTTAAGTTTGGGAGACCCATGATGGGAAGTGCTGCGCCTTTTTCGCCAAATTCCATCATAAGCACAAGTCTGCTACATGTCGCACCAAAAAGTCATTTTTGCTCAGAATTGCGCCACAAAAAACTTAAACAAAGTAACAAAAAGAAATAGTGTTGGTTGACATGGATCAAAGTAGTAAAAAAGAAACAAATTATACAAACGTGTATTTTACGATATCTGTACTTGCCCTAGCTAAAATTTGCGCGTTGATCGCGTTGGCCACGTCATCGTCCGATTTTCCAGATGATGTCGCAGAGGTAAAAGTCTCATAAAAATTAATAAAATGATGGCATGGTGGCTGATGTGATAAGACACAACCGGGGTCTCATACCTTTATGAGAACACTTAATTACCATCTCAGCCACATGCCTCCATGCCACAGCACTATCGCCGCTTGTGTCAGCCTTCACTGCCTCGCACAGGTGTGCGTGCATCAAGGTTCACCTCTCTACAGTGGCTGATGCAGGGGAGCACCAGGGTTAGGAAGATCAGCTCTGAAATTATGCTCAGTACTACTACGGGTCAACTTTTTTATGTCTTCGTTGTAGGTCTACCTCCACTTTTAAAGAGCAGTGCTGAGAAAGGAAAAATGAACAAAATAACCCAGACTTATATTTAAATAAATACAGTAGTCAAGGTAGTTCCTCACCACCAGTCGATAGAAAGGGGTCCAAACTCTGACTCAACTTAGGCTCCAACACCGCTAACTCTTGCAGAGTTAAAAGAGTGTCACTTTCAAAGCACAACTCTAATTTTTGGTAATATTTGGGGGTGGTGGTTTCTGCAGTTATGATAGTAGAATCTTGAGTTTGGAAGGTTCATAAAACTTGACGGAACATATTTTCATTGATCGAAATTTAAGCGGATCTGCTAGTTTTTGTTGGAATTTTACATAAATGAAATTGACAGGCTAATGAACTATGAGTGTAAGAAGGGAAGGGGGGAGATGGCTTTGGTCTCAACTGAAGTGTGTTGCTACAATTCATTTTTCAATTATTTGTTTTTATAATTCTTATTGTAAACAATTCACTATATTTTCCAAACTATAGTCTACCCGTGGATAGTCCGCGCATGGTACATATTTTGCACATTCGCACACATAGGACACATTGAAAATGCGTGGTTTATTAGAGCATAAACAAGCTTGTCTCGTGCAGAAATCATAATTTCTGCATGAGACACAAATCTCATTCACAAAAGCCGTCACACGTCTCATCGCATACAATTGCAACTTTTAGGCATGTATGTAGTCTGGAAAATGCTGTTCTCCTCTTCATACCTTTCACAACAATTTTTATCTAGTATTATTATTATTCTTACAAAAAGGTGATAAGTAATATGCTTCATTATCAAAGATGAACCCTTAATTGTAATCAAAGATTTAAAAACTCATTTAGCAAAGCAATAATCGTTTAATTTTCAAGTGACGTGATAACATATGTTGGCATCTGCTCCAAAACGGCCAGTGGCTGCTCGAAACCAACATTTTGCTTGCTACAAAACTTGCTAGAAAAAAATCAAATGCTGCTTCCACCACTGCATAAATGTACTCTTGGAAAACCCCTGGGTTCCTTGGAACCCAGTTTGAGAATTCATGCAGCCAAGTTTGACATGGAAGACCAACCAATCTGGTGCATTTATTAGTTGTTGACACTCTGCTGTTTGTCAGGTATACTCAGCAAGAGCATCTTAACACCATTCACACTTATTACAATAATTCTTAGTAGTTTGTCTTTTTGGGTTAGAAGTTCTGAATCTGAACAGGTTTGCGATAAACACGTTCAAGCCTTAAGAAGTTTTTCAATTCATACAGGCTTGCTTCATATTGGAGACACCATAATGGAGGTGAATGGCACTCCAGTACATACTCCCGAACAACTTCAGCTACAACTGAAGAAGGCACGTGGCAGCGTCACCTTCAAGATTCTGCCCTCCTACCATGACAGCCTCCCAACATTCCAGGTGTGGTTCCTTAAAATATGTTTACTTGGCAAACTTGTGCTCACCGCTTCGGGTTCAAAGGAAAATTTTTGGTTCTAATGTCATGAGGTCTCCAAATGTAAGAAATGCCCAAGTCTGAAAGCAGGTGCCCGAAAAGAGAGCCCTTTGAGGACAGGCACACTTTCCTGAGAGTCATTTTCCTCTCGTCGAAACAAGCAATGAAACAAATGGCTTTATTTCCACTATTTAAAAGTGAAGCAAGAAATGATACTTAAATTGCTCTGAAATAAAATTCCACTGACTGTGTAGTCATATTGTGGGATCACCTTAGGCTTCATCGCTTGGAGAAAGACAACACACTAAAAATATGTTTTAAAAGCTGCCTCGGGCTGCTACATATGAGGTGTGTCTATTAATAAGCCCCTGAAAAAAAAAAAAACATTTTTTTTTTTAGACAATTTAATTGGGACATGCGTGTCAAAAAAATTAATTTTACGCAATTTTTTTTTTTTTTAGAGTAATACGGGCGTTGAGAGATTTATTTGAAATTCTGCACGCAAAGTCCATAAAGTCACAGAATGGTCCTTCGCTCAGCGAGACGGCCATTTCTTCTTTCCAACGTGAAGGCGAAGCCGATCCACCTCTTTTCCACGCGCCCAAAATGCCGAGAGAGAAAACAAGTGGAAAGGAGGTGACTGCCGTCTTGCGCCATCGATATTGCTCTAAAAAATTTTTTTGTCCGCGTAAAGTTAGTTTTTTTACACGCGTGTCCCAGCGGGACCGTTTAAAAAACAAAAACATTTTTTTCTTTTCAGGGGTTCTTTAAAGCACAAGTCCTTAAATATATTTTTTTTTATTTATCAATTCATTTTTTAAAAACTTTGCATGTAGATATGCTTTTTAATGGTGATTTCATATCTGAAATTATTTGACATATCTCTAGAACAAATGTTATGGCAAAATATCAAATTCCAATTAGGTCATTTCTTACAAATCATTATATAAAATTTATAATTTTTTTTTTTGACGATGTGCAGTGAGTTGCAATTGTCCACCATACATACTATAGCTAATAGAATCTTGACGCCAGCTTTTACTGTAAATCAATTACAAACCTGAAAGCGAACAAAATCTGTTTGTAATTAGTCAACATTTTCCCTAATTACTTTGAATCTAGTGGCTCTGAAAAAAACAAAAGCTTTAGGATGCAGAATTCAGTTGTTACTGAGAAGAGTAATACCAAGTTCACTGGTATTTATACAAACATTATAAAAGCGTCCGTAAGGAAATGGCTGTTTATAAAAAAGACAAACCTACTAAATTTATAGAAAAAAAGAAAGCTTTAAGATGCAGCACGGTTATTGCTCAACACAAAAATACAAAGATTTCTAGAAATCATTTCTGCCAATATTTTTAAAAACTCAGTCGAACAATGGCAATTTAAAAAAAGAAAAAGAAAAAAAGTACAGAAAATTACATCGGAGTCTTAACTGTGAGTAGGTTTACGTGAGTCCTGGGCAGTGGCCCTGGGTCATGTCGGGCTTGTGCCTCTTGGTCGTCTTCCTCTTCACCTTCTCACTCTTCGTGTGAGCCTTGTTGGCCTTGCAGAGTCTCTGCTTGTCCTCCTCGAGGCTCCTGCATTTGAGACAGCTCCCAGTGCTGTAGCCGAGCTGCTCTGCTACCGCCTTGCTGGTCTTTGCCATGCCCTGGTAGAAGCGAGACAAAGCTTCAGCTACAGCCCTTTCCACAGCCAGCAGAGAGTCATGAATGCTCTTGGAGTTTTGGCCCTAGATCACAGAGTGTAGGCTCTCAAGGCGTTATATGTCACGCCATCACTGCAGCGCTCCAGGAGGGCCTGGTCGCCCAGCCTCTGAAAGACCAGCTCCAGTGCTGTGCGAATCGAGCCTGGTAGAGGGTTATTGTGTGTTGGTGGTCCCTCGTGGTAGGCCAGGGCGCGGTTGTAGGAGCACCAGGAGTCATCACCTTCAAGTCAGTGGCTGTGGTCCGGGGCTTCGTCTGTCGACGTTGTGTGCAGCAAAGTTGCCCACACCGCCTTTTTTATCCCTGGGACGTCGGGCCTGTGGGTCCTCATTACGTATCCAGTGCAATTTTTTTAATCTTGTCCTGGGTCAGCTTTCCTTTTTCTCCAAAAGACTGCCCTTGTGCCGTCTTCTTCTCTACCAAGGTGCGAAGGGCTGCCCTCATCCGCTTGTGCACATGGTTCAGGCAGTCCTTCTTCTTGATCTTGAGGCAGCCATAAATGCCCTCCTGAGTCAAAGCATGGAAAGTGCGGCTGTCTCCGTCGGAAAGAATGGTTGTGTAACGCAGCCCATTCTTCTCCAGAGACCTCTTGAACAGGATTAGGGCTGAGAATACACAGAAAGAATAAAACGCATGAAGGATGAATACAGACACACACAGTTCTTTCAATGAGCAACAAACATTTATGAAATGCCCATGACACTACGACCGTGAACTTCAAAGAATTGAAAGAAAGAACGAAAAATTAAACGAAAATAAAGAAAACGAAAATGCTCAAATTTAAAATTAAAATAATTGCTCAAAAATTTTTAAAATGCCAAATTAAAACGGTAGGACTTTTATGGAAATTAACCCCTGTATAAAGGGGAAAAGGAAGAAGAAAAAGAAAAAGGAAAAAAAGGATCAGGGCTGCCCCGGCTTCCGTTCGCCCAGCATTGCAGTCAATGTTCTTGAGGCACTTGGGGTTCAAAACCCAGTCACCATAGCCGTCGCCATCTGGGTCAGGTGCCCCCTTTCGGCCCTGGCAGTACCTGGAGAGGAAAACGTGGTTCAGCACCAGGCCAGAGTACAGCTCGAATATGCACCCCACTGCGATGTTCCTGTTGTGCCCACGAGTATTCCACGTCCCATGAAAAATGATGTCCACGTTTCCAAAGGGGTCGAGAAAGTTCTGGTACAGGACCTTGACCACCTGCATACTTGGTGCTTCTGTGGCTTTTGCTGCTGCCTGGCAAGCTTGCACCATGGTGTCTATGTATCCCCGAAGGTCTTGTGCTGAAGCCCCCGGTGGGAGAGGTTCAGGGTGGCACAGAAGTTTGCGAGGGCAGTCAATCCCCTTTTTTTTCTAGATCCCCTTCATTGCAGTAGTAAAGTGGTTATTTATACCTGTGAAACTCCTAAGGAAGGTGTGTTGCAATTTCTAGACCTTTCCCTATCTTTGCAAACAAACCACCTGTGCTGATCATTTTCACCCCCATCTAAAAAAGGTTTACTGCACTATACGTCCTCGCACTCTAAAGTCGTAAAGAGAGGCATAGCTCTTTCCTGTCTTACTTCAGCCCTAAAGAAGTCATGCCTCCACACCATTAAAAGCACTTTTAATGCTCAAATTGAGAGGCTTACAGCGTCTGGGTTTCCAGCGCAGGTGCTAACTGAAGTGGTAGGAACTCTGATAAAAAAAGTAAAAGGATGCGAAAAAGCTGCACGTGATATAGACAAAAAAAGAGTGGTGGTGGTTCCGTATATACACAGAATATCTCACAATCTCAAACAGGTAGCCAATAGGTACGGAGTCCCCTTAGTGATGTCAGCACCCCAAAAAATGGGTCAAATTTGTTCTACAGTTCGAGCAAAAATAGAAGATATTACAAAACACAGGTGCCGCACAAAACACGTCCGCCCTTACGTGCCCTGTTCAACCAGAGTGGTTTATAGCATTCCCCTTTCCTGTGGCAGATCCTACGTAGGACAAACAGGACGGTGTATTAATGATCGGTTAAGGGAGCACAATCTTTCTCTAAATTCAACAGTGGGGGGTCACCTACCTCTGCATTGTCAAGCGTGTAAGTGTACACCTTCTTTACAAAAGACCTCGATAATTGGCAGATTCACCGAAAAACACACTCGCGAAATTTTTGAAGCTTTTAGTATACTCCGCTTAGGCGAATGTTGTGTCAGCCATCCTTCTGTGGCTTTAACCGACAAGGAAATAGCCTATCTACAATCCTTTGAGTGTGGTTGATGGTGTGTGTCCTCCGCGTGCTCGGGTGCCCCCGTGCGAGTGTGGCCTCAGCTCGAGCTGATACAGCGGGCTGTTCTTTTTTCTTCTTCAATACATCGAGTTGTGAGTTTGCGCTTGTCTCTTCTCTCTTCCCTTTTCTCTGTTCCTTTCTATTTGTGTGCAATTTTAACCATTTCCCCTTCATTGCTCTCATTTGACCTTAAAGGGCATTATCTTGGCTGCTCCAGTGACTCGTGGCAACGAAAAGAGTGGTGCTCGGTAAAATCGCAGCTTGAGCACGTGAGCACTAGCTTCACTGCTAGGCCGTACTGCCTCTTGTCACACTTTGAAAGTTCAACAGTGGCCATCCTGCACTTGCCGCACGTTGTGGATGCAAAGTACTTCTGTAGTACTTTCCTGTCCACGATGACATACTCTGTACCGTGATCATCGTCTTTGCGCTCACCAAGCTGTCGTCGAGGGGCTCAAACTTTTAGGAAGTCGCAAGCTTCTCCACCAATGAAGATTTTGTGTCCTGTGCAGATTCTTTATGTTTATCAGTGTAATCAGCGCTGGAGTTTGATCCGGCCACGTCCACCAGCGGTAAAAGGCCTTGCGGCGTCGCTGAAGTGCCTTGCGGTGGTGCTGAAGTTGTTAGTGCAGCCATGTTCACAAGCGGTAAAACGACTTGCGGTGCCACTGTAGTGGACACTTCCGTTCTCAACGATGTGGTGCCCGTTCTCAACGATGTGGTGCTCTTCTTATTTTAAGGGGGACACCACCCCGAAAAAAAAAAAATTTCTGCAAAAAAAGTTGATTTTGAAAAATGCCATATGCACATCCACCAACATTTAGAGAGTACGGGTATTTCCAGAAAGTTTCATTAGTTTACACCGCTGAGTTAATTTTTTATAAATTATTTTCGGTCCACCAATGCTAAAGAAAAGGTAGGGGTTGGAACAGCTTGAATGCATTTTTCTCCATTCCACTTTTTTAGCATAAATTTAACTTTAGGAAAACTATTGTTTGTTAATGGGACAAGAGGAAAGACTTACTCATTATTTTTCCCAACTAGAATTTTATGGACAGTGCAACTGTGGAATTGTTTTTTTTACTTTGTGGATGTCTTTTATAAAAGATGTTAGGATTTTGTAAACAACATAAAAGGCAAAACAATTATTTGATTTTTCACTGCGATGTTAACATAAAATAAATTGCTGCTTGGAAATTTTGTTTCCACGATTGCATTCTCCGGGCATTCTGCTGCAGATCTAGAGTAGAAAAATTTTGGGTATTACATTACTTTCCTAACGATAGCTTTCCTAAACAAAGTCTTTGTGTTCCTGATAAAAATGACTAATTTATTTTACAATTTATGTACACAAGTAAAACTTTGCACTGCATTCTGCCTTGCAACTACCAGTATATATCTAAATTTCATTCATATTAAGCCATAGGTTCAAAAGTTGACCCTTTTGCAGTGGTGTCCCCCCTTAAGTATGTCTGCGTTTACTGTGCACTTTCTGCGTGCTCACTAAACGGGCGTCCCTCGCCATCAAAATGAGCAAAACAAAACAAAACCACTAATGCGAAGTGGGTAAACATACACAAAAATGAAATGCTAAAAAGAAAAGTGGGTCAGGGTCCAAAATATTTACACAACGAATGAGAAGAAGACCAGGGGCTTGAAAAACACTAGAAAGCACAAAGAAAATGAGAGCAATATCAAAGTAGCAACTGGAGAAGAGCAAAGGCCGTGTGCATATCAGATGGCGTAGCAAAGGAAAGCAGACGACGTGGAGCAGGTGGGAGAGCAGGCTGGGGAAACCAGGAGAGGAGATGCACGCCAAGGCCAATCGGAGAGTGGCGCTTCGGAGGAGCGTGCGCTTTGAACATTCAGCGTCGCTGGAGCTCTGCTCACTCTCTTCCGAAAAGCATCAATGACGTCGCCACCTTGATGCCGATGCCACTTCGAAGTGCGCTGAAACGAAGTGCGGGAAACCAGCTTTCAAACAAGACCAAGATGGTGCCGGTTGGGCTCTTCAGAGCTTACAAATTGTAGTTTTTTTAATATCTAGATATTGAATTGTGCTTTCATACTTTGGGAGAGTATACTGTGGACCATAAAGGCTTCAAAATTGTGAGTTTTGAACAAGAACATTTTTAGCGATTTTTTACTATTTTAAGACTCGCGTCACCCGTCAAGTAATGAGACTGGTAGCAAAACTGTGGTTTATTATTGCTGTCCTACAACTTACCGTAACTGTTATCACCTTCCACATAGGTCTCTCCCCTATCTTTACACTATTGCATATGAATTTTCCATAGTTGGAAACAGTGCTGCAGGACACTGTGTTGGTGTGTCAACCCCTTCAGCAGCGCCACTATTTTCTCCTTTCCCTCATCCACAGTTTTTGCCTATCCATTTCTTTTCTCAGTAGTGTGGTTGTTTTTCCGCACATAGATTGTCTCTTTGCTTCCGGGTTGTAATGGAACATCTAGTATGTCTCGTCACACACGGCAGTGTTTTGTGGCGAGTCATGTTCCACTGAGAGTTGTTTCGTAAAGTAAGTGCAAATGTGTTTCCGGGTGTTTTTCTGCCTCTGACTGAGGTCTACAGGCACCGTTTTGGGTAAACTTTGTATCCATTCAATTGTTTACATAAAATTTGTCAAACAGTCTCTTCATCAATATCCACCATGTCTGCTATCATCCAAATGCTTAATATCTGATCATTGCTACCAGTAGTGGAAAGAGGCACGGAGCCAAATTTGCACACACTTCATAGAACAGCTGACAGCTAACTAGACTTTGAAACTTCATTATGCTTCTGCTATGACTTCGTTTCGGTGCACTATGATGTTTTTCTCTTTCCACCAGTGTGCCTTGTGAGATGAATATCCTAGCTGTCTTGCTGCTTTGGGAAATTTATTTGATTGTTTCAAAATTCCTGCCTTTGCTGTGTTGTTTCACTAAGTTATGAGGGGTGTACCTTGTTGCTTTACAATTTATTCTTTTACTGCAGATACCGGTCACTTAGAGGTCAACACACATGTCCACCTTCTCGACAGACTCACCCTGGAGCCAAATGCCCTTGCACCACCTGTATAGTAGCCTCTCTATGCCCTGCTGGAACCATTTTTTGGGAGCGCCTCACACCCATGCCTATACAGCTGCTTCCAGCGTATTAATGACCGCGAAATGGCGTCTCTGCAAGTTTTTTTTTCATGCTACCCATCATGTGATAACCACTGGGGGCCCAGCGAGGCTATACTCATGCGTGAACGGCTGAACGAAAGACGGCTGAACGATCAGACACCGGCAATTACCGCCTCACGTGAATGCACACGACGCAGTGATTGAGTGGCGCCTGAGAGGGTTTGGCTGTCTTTCTGACACGTCGTACGACCAGTCGGTCGTTTGGTTATGCATGGATATGGCCTGACCGGTCCCCCGGTTATCATCTGCTGGGTAGCATGAAAAGGACCCCTATGAGGACGGCGTTTTATGGTCATTGATAAGGTGGAAGCAGCTGTCCAGGCGTGGGTGTGAGGCACTCCCAGAAATTGGTTTCAGCAGGGCATGGAGAGCCTACCACACAGGTTGTGCAAGGGCATTCGTCCCCTTGGGGAGTCTGTTGAGAAGGTGGATATAGTGTATGCCTATCTCTAAATGACTGATATTTGTAGTAAAAATGTTTAGTCAATCAATATTCTCACGAACGTAATGTAACGAACCTCTCACGAACGCATCAGGGCTCAGCTTCATGCTTGGCATCCCCAAGGTACAAATTCAGTGCAACATTTTTTACTGTGTCTTTGTGGAATTTGTTACAGTTACCTACCTATATTTGTATTGCGCATTGGTAACTTACCTGTGCAGATGATTTTCAGAAAGCAACCACATCCATAGCTTAAAGCAAAGCACCCAACTTTTTGTTTTCAGCAGGTTTTTTTTTTCCTTATGCTTTTGCACTGGAGAGCCTCCAGTCAATCATTTCTATTTGCTGTCCTCTTCTTGTTTGCCATGGTGTATAGAGTTTTGAGTGCTGATTTTTTCCTTTGTTTCACTTGGTTTGTAGTTGCTATTCATGTTTGTAGCATTGTGTTACACCTCTATATAAGGCCTTCTGGTCTTTTAGGACCTAAGTGATGAATGAGAATTTCCTGCAGTACCTGTTCTGCTGAGGAAATGACATTTTGATGGCCCCTCCAACTTCTCTATCTTGCTTTGCAGTGCTTTGTGAAGGCCCTGTACTCGTATGATCCATCAAAAGACTCTCTGCTTCCCTGCAAAGAAATTGGCCTGGCCTTCAAACAGGGTGATATCCTGCAAGTGCTCAATCAGGAAGATCCCAACTGGTGGCAGGTATGACTGTCTGGCTTACTCTACTGGCTGGCCTCCCTTCATATTGTTTAACATGTTATTTTTGAGAGCATGAGTTCTCCAACTGGGTCCCTAGGAATCCAGGGTTTCCCCAAAGTACCCGTTTCCCAAGCTCCTAAATTTCCTCGGCATTCTCTGTCCTGAAGTGTTCTTCTAGTCTAAGCACCAATTTAGAAGATCTGAGCCATTCGTAGGTGCATAACAAAGTGATAGACATTCTCTAGTATGTGCAGTAATGTTTACAAGGTCTGTACGCTTCCTTGACTGCTTTATTGCATCAGTGCCAAGATTGGGAGGGGTTCTTCAGCTATCGATTAAGAATGATTTATGTTCCTTGAGGTGAAAGGGTTTGAAAACCACTGCTCTAGAGAGCGGAATCTCTAGTGGCTTTTTATTGCTGAAATAAATGACCCGTTGTGCTCTGTTGCAGGCAAGGCGGGTTTCTCTTTCTGGTCCAGCTGGACTCATTCCATCCCAGGAGCTGGAGGAGCGGAGGCGAGCCTTTGTTCGTCCAGAATTCGACTACGCCACAAAGACAAGTAGGCTCTTGTTGTTTCACACATCTGTGTTGCTTGTGGCTTGAATGGGGATGTCTGGCTAGAGTAAAACATTCATTGAGGGCTGCATGCATGCAAAGGAAATATGACACATGGTCCCTTCTCCTCAGCAACATGGTCTCCTTTGAAACATTGGTGTAAAAGTGATGAAAGTGGCAGGAAAAAAAAATATAGATGAACAAAGAATGAAGGATTGGATGGTAGGGGTTTAGGCCATGTTAAAAAAAGGCTAGAAGACACTCAACAAAACAAATGATGCTGCCATGAGTGTAGACACTCATGAATCCTCCTTGGCTCCACATGGCATCCTTGAACAATGTGTACGGCTTTGATATTGAAAATTGACTGCACAAATTGTCACGTGACTGCCAGAATATTTATATCAACGTGCAAAGTGTAAGGGCAGGGTAAACGGGCAATTTGTGAGTTATTCTGGATGCATAGAATTTACATTTTTTTTAAATTTACATTTCTGGGTGATTGGTTTCATGAAACATACTTTGCATTAGGCTGAGATGTGTGATTGAGTTCCTCCACATTTATGTCATTGATGAGGCCACCTTGTTTTATTCTTTGCTGTATCGAATCCTCATAATATTTCTTTTTCTTTTTTAGAAATGTGTGGAACCAAGATTACAAAGAAGAAGAGAAAGACCATGTATGAAAGCAAGGCTTCTGCTGGTGAGCATTGTTCCCTCAAACTCAATGCTTTGAGTTGCTTTTTTAGAGGTGCAGTGTCACATTTTCTACATCTAATCAGGGTTACTAAAGTCTTGCTCTTTAATATGTCTCAGAGAAATGTAATGATCTGAATGCCGAGTCCTGAGGATTCACTTTTTGTCACTTTGATTCATCCAATACGGTCACCGACCGATTTGTCATACACTTCCCATTATTCGGACGTTTTTGCGGAACCGTCACTCACCCTATAGAGTTAACGTATAACATTGACCGAAATTTCGGACACCTTAAAGCTTATTGCTTGATATTTCGCACATAATTTCTGTAATTTCCCCAGTTTACAGCCACAAAACAGCCGCCGCGATAGCGCCACAAGCTTAGTACTAAAGTCACCGCCGTTTTGGTCGGGGTATCCTCAGGAATTGAAAAATTGAAATTAGGGGGGTGTCTATATTTGGGGGGGGGCGGGGGCCGGCGGGCGGGGGCGGGGGGCATTGAGAATAGAGGACGTGTTGCGAATTAAGGGGGTGCCTTCGGAAAAACAAGAAGCGTGTATAGGGAAATCACTGATTTTGGTTGTTTTGATTTTGCCCTGTAGCCTCAATCCCACGTTCTACGCAATAAACAAGCTGGGTTGAGGCTGTAGTCTTGTCTTCCGGTTCCGCTATAGCCAACATGGCCGCCGTCTGCCCATTCTTATGGCTCTTCCAGTTCTTCTCGTGATCTGTGTTTTTCGAATGCGATCGTGAGAAGAGCGGCCGTCTGCCATTCTTGTGGTCTTTGAGCGCGAAGGTTTTTTGCCTATACGCTTAGTATTGAAGCAAGCTCGGTGGACTAAACGTTGTCTACAAATAGTGCCAAATGGCGCCAACTTCAACTTCGCTGTTTGTGCCAACGAGGTCGCCGACAAAGTGCAGCACCGTGATCAAACAGATCAACAAACAAGTGAAAAGTGAACAATAAAAAGCGGAAGTTGCACGAGAACTTAAAATTGACATCAGACAAGTGGAAAGCAGCCAATACGCAGCGGAATATGCGCGGAAATGAGATATTTTGGCTGAAATCAATTTTTCGGACCGCTTGATTATTTGGACAATTTCGGGGTCCCCTCCGAGTCTGAAAGATTGGTCGGCGACTGTACTACCATATTTGCTCGAGTAATAGTTGCACTTCTTATGAACAAGGCCTATGGGTCTGCTTTTCCGCAAAGCACGGGGATAATGAATCACTGTGATCGGCAGAAAAATGACAGCAATTTACGAGACAGAGATAACTTCTTCACGCGAAATTGTCTGTTCAGATCGCATTTTTACGGAGGATTGTGTTCTCGACTTTGTTATTCGTTGTGCTTTTTACGCACAATGCGATGATTGGCTGAATGTGGGCTCTACAGGAAAATCAATGGAAGGGCCTTGTTCATAAGGAGTGCAGCTATTACTCGAGCAAATTTGGTAATAAGCAGCTCAGTCAATGTGACCTTACTGAAGCCATATTGATCTTGAATCAGTATTTTTAAAAAGAAGCCTTCAACTAAGTTTTGTGTGAAGTACTGCTGCCTTTCCCTAGGTTTAAAAGAAAGCTTGAGTGGATGTGTATAGTACTGGTTTTCATCTTCCTTTTTTTTTCTTTAGAGTTTGAGAAGGCGGAGCTGCTCCTGTATGAAGAAGTTGCCCGTATGCCTCCATTTGAGCGCAAAACCCTGGTCCTTGTTGGAGCTCAGGGCGTGGGAAGGCGCTCGCTCAAGAGCAAGCTGATCAGCTACGACCCTGTTCGTTTTGGAACGCCCCTTCCACGTACGTTAACACAGCATGCCTCCTGTTTTGGTTATCTCTGATGGGAGAAGGAATGCAGGCTTTGCAAGACCATGCTTGAAGGGTCTCATAATTTTGATGCTCGCGTAATCCAAGTCTACAACATCTTGGAAGCATTCTGGGCATATTGTGTTATTAATTCTGGTGTAGTCTCAGAGTAGCCTGTTTCTAGATTGCACCCACTTTACGAATTAATGGCAGTCTTAAATTGAATCAAATTGGTGTTGTCATATTATCTCTCCATCCTTGAGAACGGACCTAATATTGGTGCTTTTACATTCTTGATTCGTTGCTTTCTTGATTTTGTTATTCTGAGAACTTTTCTTGTTGGACACATTTCTGCAACGAGAACTTGTGGGCATATTAATTGTAATAAAAGTGGGGTTGTGAGTGTTTGCAGGTGTACTTGGTTGTCTCATACACGAGTATGTAAATAATTACCACTTGTGCTACTTCTTACACCGGTTGACATATAGTAAATAAATGATATGATCTTATTACTCAGTAAAGGGTCACAGCCATTTAACCCTTTGACGGTAGAGTTTTTTTCCCAAAAGATGTTCCCCAGTGGTCGGGTTTGTTTCCAAATGAATAGTAAAAAGAAAAGGGCAATGCGCAGGTTTTCCCTCAATTATCTAGCCGGAGCACGTACAGTGCTTTCAAGCTGTTTAGGTTTAGAAGCATCAAATGAAAATATTGAAAACGAAAAGTTGTCACTTTTTCTTCTATTCGGTTTTATTTTGGCACGTCCGCTTCTGCGACATTCCGGCTGTTTCAGGATACAAACTGGAGGTACTTTACAGAGCTTCTCCATCAGTTGGTAAGCTCTCATGCTCCGAATTAAAATCTGAGAAGCATTCAAAGTTTGAAACGTTAGAGCCCCGTGCTCCAATTGCCTGTACTGCCGGGCTGCCGACCGTCTTGTGCGTATCATGCGCAAGGGCGCATAATTTAAAAACTATAAATTGTCCCAGCAAAGCAAAACACCGTGCTAATAGTTAACCAAAAACATAACAAATATCAGCGTCTTCCGCGGTGCGCACTGTTTCGCGTTTAGGCAGCCACTTTCTAATCTATGATCATCGCCGTACGTGTATGGCGTTGACCGTCAGAGGGTTAGTATGTTTGAGTTTGCAAACTTGACTGAGGGTGTTAATGTATCCCCTGCCTAAATGCGCCACTACATTTGTGTGCAGATACCTCACGCCCGATTCGGGAGACGGAGACCGACGGCAAGGTGTACTACTTTGTGTCACGCGAGGTAATGGAGGCAGACATTGCAGACAACAAGTACCTCGAGTGGGGTGAGCATGGCGGACACCTGTATGGCACAAAGCTGGACACACTACGTGCCGTCATCCGCTCAGGCAAGATGTGCGTCGTGGACTGCAGCCCCCAGGTGGGTTGTGAGGTTATACCTACTCTCATTATGAAAATATATCATGTCTTCAAAATTGCCCTTCCCCTTTAGAAAAATTTACCTCTAATGTTAGTAGGGTCCTCCCTTTGTGCGCATGCATGTACTGTGGCCTGCTTTTAGTTTACCAGCTCTCACCCAGTGCTCTCTAGACAGACAGTCTGGAACACTATCACTGTCATACTTTAGTACTAAACTGCGGGAAAAAAAATATTGTCCCAGTTCTTTCACACTTGCATTGCCCAGGGGGAGTGAGTGGGGTCTAAACACTTTCCTGTTTTTTTTTTCAGTATCTGAAGGTGCTGAACACGCCCGAGTTCATGCCGTACGTCGTGTTTGTAGCAGCGCCCCAGGTAGAGCAACTGCGACAGATGCATGAGTATGGTCGTCACCACGGCTATGGAAGCAGCCGTAATTTGACGGTAAGATAGCGAGGTGCCCCTTATATTTTACATTGTGACATACTGGAATTTCTCAGTCGTCTATAGGGCTTTTTCCTTTTCATTCTGCATCCCAGTTTGACAGAGCCATGAGTCGTCACGGGTCACGGCGAGCTCGAACCTTGGAAAGTCTGGCGTCTCTCCAGGAGGTGAGTAGTACTGTACTGTTGTTTGTTATTTCATCATACTGCCGAGATTTGCCTGGTCGACAGTCAGCCTTCGAGAAGGGGCACACATCCATGCCCATGTGTTAGCATGTATGCCCGTGGTGGTTCACTGGCAGCGTTGACATCAGGAGGGATTTGAAGTGAGAGACAGGCAAGCTTTCGAGGGTTACTAGGCCTGAGATTGTTGGTCTTGCTGTAAGACAATGAAGATTTGTAAGACAAAGAAGTCAATCATGATTCGGGTATGGTGTGGTCACTCGACATGTGGTTAGAAAGTCTGCATTAAAATGTAGCTATTGTCAGATGCACATTCACAAGATAGGTTTTATCAGTCTGGTCTTTAGGCATCCATGATCACTGAGAAAGTGCTTGCATAATGGCACTTGAGGACAGGTATTCCATAACTGCAAGTTAAACTGTGTGGCAGATTTAAGGTATACTCTTTCAGGAAAGAGTATGCCTTGTTTTGCTTCAGTAGAAAAGCTTTGTTATGAAACTTGTCAGAAGTGGCTGAGTGGGGAGTATGAGTGAAAAGGAGCATATACAGTTGAACCTTGTTATAACGAACTAGCATTGCGAGCAGAAATTTGTTTTCTATATACAATATTTGTTATAAAAGTGCACACAAAAATCAACGCAAACGCTCCAACAATCGAAATCGTGCAAGAACGTGCTCAGCACTACGATATAAAAACGTGCTGTCGCGGACCTCGAGATCCTTACATGTCATTGAGCAGCATTAAAAAAATAGATTGGAACATGACAATATTAATTTGCAACACGAGAAATGACGGTAGAGGCAAGGTTTAAGGCGCTTTCGGTCAATCTTGACGGTGTTGTTTGCATAGCACTCTTCGATCTTCTCCCTTGCACTGAAGATGGTGCAAGCATCATGCTTGGTGCGAGCTCGAAGTTCACAGCGATGTCTTTTTTCTTTCGATTGCTGTCCCCCATCCTCAAAACCTTCACTTTTGTCTCCAGAGAGATGGCTTTCCCCTTCGTCGCCATTTGCAGCTCCGCTACGAGTGACGTTATTGGCGGTTGGCTTTAGTCTCCACTGGTTCTTGATGCTGCGCAAAAGCCAGCAGCGGTGCCCCTGCCGTTATCCGCTCGGTTTGTAGGTGGTGTTACCTCCCGAAACGTGCATGTTTGCACATCGGGCAATCTAAGCTTTCGGAATTTTTCGTTTTTAAATTACTTTTTGTATTTTTTCTACTTTTTGATAACTTTCATAGTATTTTTTGATGCAAGAAAAGCAGGAACTGCTTCGCTATAACCGGTAGCACAACAGATCTCACAGTTTCGGTTTCGTTATATAACTAGAACTCCCATCCAAATAAAGCGTGACCAACCAAACTTCGGGATTAGTTTGCTATATTTGATATTTCGCTATATCAGTGTTCGTAATAAAGAGGTTCAACTGTATACCTACCGACTTGCATAATAGGCGCAGATTGCTTTTTCTGTCTCGGAAGAGTAAGTAGAGGTGCAACCTTTACACATTTAGATATGATCCTGTGATGCATGTGTAAATGGGTTTTCTGAGGGATGTGTTGCTCTTTGAACACATGCCTATGCACTGTAGAGGAGTACCAGTGCATGGGCATGTGTTATTTGCAAAAATGTTTTTACCTCTTTCTAATCAGCTTGCATTGCAGTCCAGTGGCGTAATTAGGGATGGTGGGTGGGAAAAGAGGGGAGCAGACCGGGCAGCGCTCTGGGGTGTGCAGCAGCTGGCGCGTGTCACGGATGGGGGGTGGGTGATCGCGGTTAACCACAAGATGCGGGGGTAGGTGCCGCCGCCGCTGACCGTAGTGACGCCACTGTTTTAGTCTTTTAACCTTTTTCCTTTTTGTGTTGTGCTAGCTCCTTTTGTTGAGAAAGTCTCCTAGTTTTTAGTTATATTGTGGTTGAGGTTCATGGAGCAGAATGTTAGTATGATTTTATTTTACATTTAAAATATTCTGCTAGTTGTGTGCTCACAAGTTAATATAAATGTGGAATCTTAATTCTTTTTTATGCAGAGAAAGGGTGTGGTATGTATTCATTCTGGACTTGCATAGTTACGTCCCTTTGTAGTGCATGGTGCTGTAGAGTTTTGATTGGCATTTGATGATGCAGTTGTTGGCTCTTGTCTATACTTGTATTCTTAAAGTTTTGATACTCTCACTTCTTTGTCTCTCCTATAGATAGTTTTGCACCTTTATAGAAAACATTGAATATGCCATCACAGATCATGTCCGGGCCCAGTTTGCTGATTGCTGCAGCTATCTCACCTAGAGGCTAGTGGCTAATTTACCTGCGAGAGGTATTTTGAGGTCACGTGACCAGCTCCGTAAGGATAACGAACTTCAATTATTTAAGTCGGATTCTGCATGCAGAAAAAGGGTGAAGAGGCTCCAAAGTAAGTGAAATGAACTGCATTCGTGTACTTTAGGAGGGCCATGTAGAATTACTTCTGGGAAGGTTGTGTTGAGCGAGAATTGAAGAAAACGACAGGCAGTGCTTACGTCTGATGAGTGGAATAGGGCGGAACGCTAGGCACTCTCTCCTTATGGGGCCAGTCACGTGACCTCCAATTCCCTCTTGCAGCTGTTTTACCCGCCGGTTCAAATACCTGCATTGATCAGCAAACTGGCCCATGGCTTATGGGATTGGGGTTTGGTTTTCTGCAAGGTGCACATTTAACACCTTGCCTAGTAAATACATCTTTGATAATCTATGGGACAATTAGATTGGCTTAAAGATATTATTTTAGTGAATAAAAAACAGATTTGAAAGATTACCCAAATCTGCATGCAAATGTTCAAACTCATGTTTTTTCCATTCAGAGAAAGGTCGCAGTATGTATCCACTTGGACTTACATATATATCTATAGTGCTCCTTTGTCATGCATTAATTTTAATGGATGCACAGATGCATACAAATGGTATTGCTTGGTCATGATGATTACATGATTTCCATGCAGGATGAGGACCTCAAGAAAACTGTGGAAGATAGTGCCCAACTTCAGCGAGCGTACGAGCGCTACTTTGACTCGGTGCTCGTCAACAATAACTTTGAAAAGACGTTTGAGCAACTCAAGGATGTTATTGATTCCCTGTCAACTGAACCGCAGTGGGTGCCCATCTCTTGGGTATATTGAACCATATCGTTGGGTTGCATATTTACTGATTTCAGATTCCACAGATGTCTTGCCAGGCACGTAGCCAGGATTTTGATTCGGGGGGGTCATGCCCATGACAAAATGCAGTATGAGGGGAGGGGGAGAGGAGGCCCCAGCAAAATGGAAGATTTTGGGGGAAGGGGGGGGGGGGGGGGGCATGGGTTCCCCCTGGATACGTGCCTGTGTCTTGCCTATGGCCTTGTGGACCAGAAACTCATTTGTACTTGATATGACACACATGTTGTTTGGCTGTTTAAACATTAGCATGCTTCTATTTTCTACAAGTGCTATTGCACAATGTTTAGTGATGCCAGTATGAAGAGTAATATAAGTTTTTTTTAGAGAGCACACCTTTGACTGTTAAAAATTTCAGAACTGAGACTTGCTGTCTTTTGGTCTACAGCTGGAAGGAAAATTATGAGTAGCTGTGTTGAAATGTGACTGATGCAACTTAGATTTGTTACACATCTGTCATTGTGTTTTTAGTTTCAAGGTAGAAGTGCTGATGCTGGATACAGCTTTTAGTTTGTTATTTCTTCATATATTTCATTGACCTAACTTGAGTTGCCCATACACCACAATGCTTTTGCAAAGTTTGTATATTGTGTGTGTGACAAGCACTGACTGTTTGCTCACAATATCTCATAGGGACCGGTGATTCCAGTTGTATATTATGGGTCTATATGTTTTGAATCTCATATAATTGTACAAATCCTGTAGCTGTGAGTTGATTGTTACTTTAGCTTTCTTGAGATATGCTTGTGTTGTCTCATTGTCAAATCTATGCCAGAGGTAATGTGTTAAGAAGCAGTTAGTAAATATTTTATCCTGAAAAGGTTTTGCTAAGGTTCAGTATTTTTTTTTTCTCTCTATCCTGTGGTGCAGCTTTACTTTTTAAGGGAGTGGATAACTGGAAATGTTCATACTTTGTACACATAGATAATAGAATTGCTATATTATGTGGAATCTGCCCCACAGAATAAAATTAAAGAGTACTTAGAGGCGCTCTTTCTACAAAAGTTTTTAAATCAAAACCATAATAGTGCCGCAGCTCAAGCACATAGAAGCGTTGTGACTTTCCAGAAGAGTTTTTAAACAAACATTGTCGTAGGGCTACAACTTGGGCACATGAGTAGACAAAACCTGTGCTCTTTTTAATCCAGAGTTGGTGCACCCAGTATTTTAATTGTGTGAACTTGTGCAGATACCTGGCAGTGTTTTCCTCATCTGTGTACTTCTTATGTTTGAAATCTTGTACTGTGGAAAAATTGTTTCCTACGTAAAAGGCCAACATGCCTTCTGTAACAATTTTTTGGTGACCCTGTTTCAGAGCAGTAAAAAAAATATTGTTCTGTCACTAACAGGGGCATATCATGTGCCAATGGCTCTACTGGGCTTGGCACATTTGCTCTGACCTCACTATACATGATCCTATCATACAGAAATAGGAACGTTTGATTCAATCAATCTTCAAGACGGCAGCCCTTTGAATGTAAATTCTTGTTGTCGACCAGGGAATGACTGTCCATAGCATGCATAGGAATACTTAGACTGGGTGCATGTATGTATACATCCCAACCACCTTGTAAAAACGGTTTTGCTAAGCATTTAATTTTATTGTGGTATGGATCACATTTCACTGTTAGGTGTGGGGAAAACTGAATCATGCACTGAAAGAAGTACTATATGTAACTCACTGGAGGTTAATGACGTTCAGAGCACAGATCAAATGTTTCGGAGTGTAGAGATGTATTGTAACTTTTATTTTTCTATACATGGATATAATCATTTTGCACAATCTATCTGCTTTTGGTGCAGCAGCAACAATATATTATTTTGAAGTAAGTGCTCAGGTATGTAGCAGTCGTATAATATTGTACTAATAAGAGATGCATATTCTTAGATATGTCTCATTTGATATGCAAGGATGTAAACCAATTTTAGAGATACATACTCGAAAAGGTGCTTGATCTTGATGTCAAGAATAGTTCGGTATAGCATACATTACATCAGCTTGTTAAGTTGAGCTCTGCTGTTGTCACCTCCATGCCTTGCTGTTAAAACCTTTTTGCACGTTTGTTGACTTGGATTTAATGAAAGGTATCAAGTGTGTGTAATCAATTAACAAATGTTGCTCATATCATTCTCATATTGCCTTGCCCAAGCAGTTATTCAAGTGTCATCTTGGGCAACATTCCAATATTCATTAGCATATCTGCTGATAATGTGCCATGTCAATATTTTGGAATGACTGATGCAAAATTTTTTTGCGGTTTGATTTGTTATCAAAATTGTTTCGAGGCCATAGCACAAATCTGTTGCCTTCAAAACTCGGGGCTTTCTCACAATATTTGTTATCCTTGCATCCCCCCATATGCAGCAGAGTTCTGCCGTTAGGACTGTCCTCATTAAATAAGTTATGGCAAACATGCTTAAAAAATTGTGATTTAGTGAAGTGAAATCGTGTACACATACCAGGACCAGTTTTAGAAATATTGAACCTGATCTTGCATTGTGTTCCCAGGTGCACTTTTTATAGATATTGTTTTAATTTCTTAAGGCTACATTTTTCTTTGTTGTGCTAGTTCCTTCCAGTGGAGTGTTCGCGGTTTTAGTTATAGTCCATCGACGTTTGTTTCCCCACCTTGGAAGTGCTAAAAGATGAAGCTTCGGAATTGGTAAAATCTGCCGGCAGTTTTTGAAGTGGTCGGCATTCAGTTGGTCGAACGACGTTTTAGCGAACGCCGACTTTTCATCGAAAGACACTTTAGCGAATGGTCGCCCGCCGCGAAGCGGTGTTCACGGGTGGGCCAGGAGGGTTATTAGTTTTGTAATGAGCCGCCGCATACTGTCGCCGCAAAGTGGCGTGAACGCAGGCACGGGGGGGAGGAGGAGGAGGAGGGGAGAGAGAGGAGGGAGGGAGTAACGCGTTTTAGTTATTTACTAAAATAGAGATCCGCTCAAATGACCGCTGTTCGCTAAAACGTCATTCGCTCATGTGATATGGACTCGATCTCATGCATGATTTTGCCTAGCATTCTCGCATTGTGTGATCACTTGAGGGTTTAGCATCCCACAAAATAGCACTCGAGCGATAACTCGGAGCACAACTTCTGGCTGATTGCAATATCGGAGGTCGTCCATTTTTGATAGCGATCCTGAGCAGAGAGAGTCCTGAGGCACCTTCACTTGTACACCCCGATCGCCTCCAGGCCCATCCGTCCATAAGATTTATATTCCTTGCTTATGAATAAAATGTTTTGTTACGTTCACTTAGCCGTCTATGTTCCTTAACCGGCCTTTAATCGATCCCTTTTCAGGTTGCTCGAACGCGTAGCTCTTGCCATAGCGGTTCAATGGCACATGATTTTCAGCATCGTAAAGAATGGCGCTGAGCAGCTCTTTCATGTGGCCGTCTCTTAAACTCGCCGTTGCACTTCAACCGATCATATAATCCTTGTAGATTTTTTTTTTTTTTGAGGCAGATGAATCAATTGAGGCGGTATGCAAGCGTTTTGCCACTTCTCATTGAGGACAGCAGTTATGCAAAAACCGAAATTCACGCCAAACGTACAAGTGACCAAAAAAAAAAAAAAAAAAAAAAGCAAAACTTTTGAGTTTGTTTTTTACCATTGGCCTACTCTGACGGGGAGCTAGATCGCTACTTGCTGTGTCTTTCTAACCGTTTCTCGATTCTTCCTAAGGTAGCGTTACAGGTGGAAGGTAACGTCCACCGGTAGCTTGATCAGTGTTGCCGGATCTCGAATTCCGCGATAGTACAGTGTACTAGAATACTGAATTCCGCGATAGTACAGTGTACTAGAATACTTGGGTAGTGTTGGGACCGAAGGGGCTCGCCTGAAACGCGTGGTATTGATCGCGACAGGTGTCGCGTCCGGCGCCTTATCCGGAAGGTGTGCGCATGCGCGGCTGCACGCGCGAAAATATGAATCTTTGGTGCCGCTTTGGTGGAGTGCACATAGGATTTCTGATACAGCTACGACCTGCCAGCGGTCGTACCGCGGCATCAATTACGCTCCGGCACGATCGTTAGCAACATGATGCTTCAATGTGTTGGACGGTACAAGCTACATTACCCTTCCTTTACATAAAAACAATTGCGACTTTATAGAAGCGGTTTCGGTTTGTCGGATGGTGAGCATTTTAAATGAAATGCCCATTTCCTTGGCCGGAAATGCCGAACATTAAATATTTGAAAGGGATATCTAAAACTCGGAAGCAGTTTTTTTTTTTTTTTCCTATCTTATTTTCTAACGGAACGAAACGGCACATACTAAAGTTCGAGATTGTTTTAGTATGTTTTTAATACCCCAGGTTAACTTCTCTGTCTTCTTTTCTGCCCGTCTTCTTTTTCTTGACCTTAATCAGCTCGCTTCACTTGTCACTCATTCTTGTGTTCATTTATGCGACGAACCACCCAAGCGACGGTCGCAAAGGGGTGAAAATCTTCTATTTCTTCGTGGCTGCCACGACCATCCGAGAATCACCCGACGTTCACTTGTAAGAAATGGCTTATAAGCCGTGACAATTTTTATCACGCGTTTTAACATTTAACTTAAGTCCAAAAACTGAGACAATGTGGGCTGAACAAGTAATGCTTTATAAGATTCAAAGAAAACAAGAAACTATTTCACATCATTTTGAGCAGAAAACATGAGCACACGTAGATCAGGCAAGGAAAAAGTTGTAATAGTTTACAGCACGGCATTGAAATAATGGCTACAATGTGCCGCGCATACATGGTTACAATATGCAGCGCATTATCCTCTTGAGGGTAAACCATCTAAAACCTACACGCTCACAACAATACATTTAACCGACAGCTGCTTTCTGACAACCAGGTAAGTCTCGCCTGAGCTGGGTATTCGACGGGAAAGACCCATGGTTCCACAGGGGGCGTATCTGGTTCACGCAGACATTCAGGGTGTTTTTGTTTTATTCTTTACAGAACTTTACATATTTTACAAAAAAAAAAAAAAAGATGTGGCAGATATGTGGATGCCGTCTTTTGTTATATCTGTAGGGCTCGGTGGACAATGAATGGGTGAATAACCGTTGCAATGTTTAATAATGAACCAAGATCTGTTAGCTAACTTGTTTATTAACGGCTTAATTGGCCATGGTGCAATTGCAGTTTTAAAAGGAGTCATTATTAAAGGCAAACACAATTTCGACAATTCGCGAAAAGGCAACGAGGGTCGCAAAATTAATCGTAAAAGTTTGCCTTTCTTCGCTTGATTCAGAAACCGCGTTATGAAAATAATACGTAGAATAGTAACTTAGTCGTCTTGATGTGTGGCGCCGGCGAGTCCACCGAAGAAACGCTGTCGAGTTAGTGACGAGGGGACAGAAACAACTGCGTCATTCTTCTACGCATCAATATCAGCACAACCTCATTCGCGCTTTCAGCGCGCAGTTTTTTTAAGTGAAGAAAGGCAAAATTTTAGCGATGAATATCTCAGGACAGAACGAGCGGGTTGGTAGAGATAATTAAGCTTGAGGAAGAAACGAAAATAGACGGACAAACACAGCAAAAACGAACGCCTTGTTACTTTCGCTCAAAGCTCGTTGTTTGTTCGCGAACTTTTTAAATTAGGTTGGCCTTTAATGATGACTCCCTTTAAAACTGCAATTGCAACGTGGCCCATCAAACATTTCATTAACCTTTGCCTACCGCAAAAATTAAAAAAAAAAAAAGATTTGAAAATACCGATTTTTTTTACGTGCCCTATACTCTATTTCACCTTGTGTTGTACCGCAGGAAAGGCTACAAGCGCGAGCTCCTTGCTCTAGGGCACATCTCGGCGGCACGAGCTCCCGTGCACCAAGGGCAGCTGCCAACGCTATGAGCTCGCGCTCCTAGCTTTCGATACATGCACCGCTCAAAGAGAAAAAAGAAAAAAAAAAGGCGGGCCGCGCGAGCCGGACAATTCGACTACAGCGCCGCCACGAACTGTCAATACACGCGCCCTCACGAGCTCCCGTTGCCGAGCCGCTCCGGTCCCAACACTACCCAAGTATTCTAGTACACTGTAATGCTACGCCGGCGGTCGGTGCGCCAGCGCAAGCCAGTGTCTCGAGGTGTGAAACAACGTCAACTTCGAAACGATGCACACGATATACCCAGAGTTTCAGAAAACATTAGTTTAGTTTAGGTTTCTGAATTAGGCTTTTAGAAACAAAAAATCTCCCAAAAATCTCCCAAACTACGACGGTTGAAAAGATACCCGAGAGCGTCCACTTCGAATGAGCGACTGCTCGGTCTAGCGCTTTTGGATGTTCACCGCGACATTGAAGTTCAAGCGGAGGACGTCCTGGATATTCTTTATCGGGAATGCAGGTGACTGCATCTTAATGTGTAGGCGCTTGGCATATACATGAGATGATCAAGAGAGCCTGTAAATTGCTTTCTGAAATAACTAGTCACACTTACTTTTTTATTCGTGGTAATTTCTAGTCGAGAGCACGTAATTCTGGTCAGCACTCAAGGTGTGCGCAAGCGCAGTGTCACCCGTTGCTTACAGTGCAGTTGTTTTTACAAATCATTCTACTCATCACTGACATTGTTTTATATTATAACAATGTGTTCGTTTTATTATGTTCGCTTTGGTTTGATTGCACCGTGTATTTTAGTGAGGATAGTTTGTCATACTTGGCCTTGAAATTGCCATCCTTCACCCCACGAATGTTTCGAAATATTCGTTCTCTATATGATCTGAGATCAAGTTCCGCATCTCATCAAATAAACATGAATGAAGAAATATTGCCCATTTTATTTATTTGAGCATTTTTTACCCCACAAACATTTTTCCCGAAAGCATATAAGTTGGACATAGTCCGCACTCCCCCTTTGCTCCATGTCCCGTGCAAAACCGACTCCGTGAGCAGGGGAGCAAGCGGGTCCGCGGGGTGGGTGGGGGGGGGGGGGGGGGGGGGGGGTAGCTTTGGCATTTCGGGGGGAGGGGGGGTTCTACCCCCCCCCCCCCCCCCCCCCCTTGCCTACGCCACTGCACTAAAGTGTCGGTGAGACAGCCGGCTGCTTTGCGACGCGAAATACCACTCCTGCTTGTTTGTTTATTTTTTGGCCCAAAATAGCAAAATATTGCCCGACCCCCTCCCCCCTCAGTTGGCCCTCGACCTCTCGGGGGTGGGCTATCTGGCCCTTACACTCGAATGAGTTTGAGACCGCTGGTTTATAGTTCAGTGGGAAATCGTTGCAGGTGACACCCCAGCTTCGCTGGCCAACCACCTTCACAGCGTGGATTGGAGCCCCGACTTTTCTTGTAAGCTCAACGTTTTGACAGCTTTAGCTTTCATTTGCATATGCGACTATTTTGAGCCTACACCTGATGTTATGAGAAAATTGAGAACACCGCCACTCCACAGTACTCACAATTTTTAATAGAACGAGAGCAAGCACACCGTCCTTGCCCTAGGCTCAACCAGGCGTATAAAAATTTCTCTTCATACGGCAGTTTTTGCTTTCCTGACGATTTTGATAGCAACATTATAAAAACATCATCGAATTTTAAAGATTTTGTGTGACAGCTAGAAGCCCGAGCTCATAGATTTATAGATTTATTTTCGACAGTTTTTCCTGCTCAAAAAGAGTTTGTGCAACCGGGGTGCCTCCTTGTGCAAAGAACTCGCGCTTGTAAGTTGTAGCCTAGTAGTGGTATTGCCATTCCGGCTGATTTACACCAGAAAATATTGAGAAACCAATATTAAGACGAAGCGATACTGCGTCCAAAAGGTAAGCAGAATAGGGCAAAATGCTTGAACAGAGTAGATGAGCAGAGTTCTTTTTTGAGCGGAAATAAATTGACGATATAAAACTATTAGGGAGCTTTCATAGATCGGTTCTTCCCTCCCGCAACGCTTTCCGTCACCCACTACGATATCTGGAACTCTGCAGTCAAATCCAGCGGCGCGCATGCGCACTAGCGGCGTCCCCCTCGTTGCGGAGTGCGTAGCGGAGTGGGGGAAACGGTCTATGAAAACTCCCTAATAGGGAGTTTTCGTAGACCGTTTTCCCTACTCTGCTACGCTCTCCACAACGTAGAAGCCACGACTGCGCGTGCGCGGCGCTAGCCTTGCCTGCAGAGTCTCGAATCTCGTAGCGGGTTGTACTCTAAAAAAAAAAAAAGCCCGTGCGTCTACTTTCCCGCACAACACTCGGAAAGCCAATCACCGCAACTTACGGAGGCAGCTCAGCGAGTGACGATGCCGAAACATATGTTTAAAAAAAAAA